TCAGCCTTACTCACATTGGTACTAGATGAATGCTGGGCAAGCTTAGATGCAGCTAACCAAGCCTCCTTCTTCCAAGACTTGGAGAAGTTTTATGATTTGGTGGATTTGGGAATACTAGCAATGCGATCCATTGATTTGGCATTTCCGGCAGTGGAACTATATATGTGTATCATGTGCTACCTTAGCCCGGGACTAGTCAAAGTCAACAAGATATACAGTGACCTCGTTGTACCAGACAACGGTATGGTTCTTGGGTGTGGTAAGGCTAACCACTGTGCAAGATCCCTACTTTACCATGTGTTAGATAAAGTACATAGAGACGTGAAGATCGTGCGTATCCGACAGTTTGTGGATGATATTTCCGCCCGAGTAGAAGGTCCTCCAGAGATAGTGGACCCTGTTATTGTTAAAGCAGCTACTGCGCTAGTAAAGGGGTGCTTGGATGCCCGCTTGCGTATTTCGGGTAAGTCGACGATCGTGGCGACCAACAGCGACGACGCAACGACGGTGGGGGAGGCGTGGCTGGAGATAGGGGTCAACATAAAACGAAGTAGAACCATGAAGGACCTGGGGGCCGACGACACCATGGGGGAAAAAGCGGGCCAGAATCACAGCGGGTAAACGTGGGCGACTTGGACGCGCGAGGGCCTCACGGGCTCGCGTTTTTGGATTGTTGGGCAGGGCCCGCAGGAAGAGAAGGATCCAGCTGTACAATAGTAATATTAGTGCTAAACTGTCTTATGATCGCCCCCTTTTTGGCCTCCCCCCACGGAGATCCGACGGCGCAGAGCTCTGGCTGCGGATCTGGCTGGTTTCGGAAATAAAGGACGTTGCACGTCCATGGTCATGCTGCTGCTGCGTGGGGATCGGGGGCCTTGGGCCACGAGTGTCAAGCGACAGGCCAAGGAGTGGCTTGCATTTTGGGCCCAACATCCCGAACTCAGGCAGCAAGTGCGCGGGGGGTGGACGGCCACTAAGTTGAGGCTTGCACGCTTGAAGTTTCGGGCTCGTTGGAGGGCCTGCACAGGGCCGATGGGGGCTATGATTTTAACGCTCAGGGCCCTGGGATGGGTTGGGGTTGAACCCGATCGCTGGGAGGACCCCGATGGTGATGAGTGGAGGTTCAACCCCGACCAGTCAGGATATATGACTGATTTAAGTGAAGCCTTAGTTGTTTCAGTGAGGCGTCGTCTCTGGGAGCAAGCTTCGAAACGCTCTGAGGGGTCTGCTTTGAATCCAGAAGGGGGCGATTTAACTGTACTCCGCAGAAATCTGTCCAGGATGCTCAATGAAGATATGCACCGGGAGGCTGGCGCCTTGGATGGGGCTAGTTTGTGGCACGCTGTGGAATGGAGGTCGCCAGCGCCGTGCTGGATATAGCACTGAAGGCATGTGTGAACGCTGCGACCTCCGATCCCCTGACACGGTGCGCCATGGAGTTTATGAATACCCCCGTGTATCAGCTAGCGAGCACCCCTGGATCCAGCGTGCGAATTATATGTGCCAGCGCGCTCTGACGGACCTGGACCATGGGACCAATGAGTCCTTGTGGCTCAAGGGTATTGTGCCTGGGTCGTGGAACTGCGTTCCCCCTCCCCCTGTCTGGGGGGATCAGAGTGCCTGGCGCATTCGTGCTGTCGATGCCCCGACCCCCGAGATTGGCCTAGCTGGAGAAATCCTCCCCACTTGGACCGGGCTCCGTGGCCAGAAGGCCTTCTTGGATGGGTCGGGCACGGGCTCTGACCCCAGGGCGGTGCGAGTGGGATGGGGAGTGTATCTCCAGCGAGGGCCCCTCCCCCCGTCTTTGCCTCAGGGCTCCTCGGACCCCGACCCTGCCCCTGGGTGGCGCGGTGGCGTCGACGGCAGACAGAGTGCACCAGCTGCTGAGTTGGCGGCTTTGTGGTGGTGCCTGCAGCTCAGTCAGGGGGAGCTGATCGTATATACTGATTGCCAATGTGTGTTTGACGGGTGGTTCGGGGGCCAATTGGAGCGGCCTTCTGGGGCCCAGAAGCTCTGGTGGGAGAGAATCGCCCAGGCCGCCCAGGACCGCCCAGGACCCATCAGGCTCCGTGTATGTTGTTCACATTTGGATGCTGTTTCTCACGCTCGTCTTGGCCAAAGGGTCGAGGATTCGCGTGGCAATGAGATCGCTGATGGTTTTGCCCAGCTATGGGCCCAGGAAGCCCATGCGTGGATTGCTGGCCAGGTCCGCCACCTAGCCCAGGGGGGTGCGACTGCGACGCTGGTGCACCAGCGGCTGGCCGCTGTCTGTGCGGAGATGGCTGCTGAAGATACCGACCAGGACCGCCCCGCGCGCGAGGCGCCCGAGGGATGAGGGGAGGCTGCTCGGAGGGCTGTGGCTTTGGAGTTGAGCTCGGGCCATTAGATGCAGAGAGTGGCGAAGCGTGGTTGGGTTTGCTCGGTCTGTAGGTTGGGCCCTGGCAGATCCTCGCTGGTGGACTGGCTCGAGAAATCCTGCTGCCAGGGAGACACCACGCTTCGCGCCCATAGTGATGCTGGAACCCCCGTCCTCGCGCCGCCCCGAGCTGTGAGTGATGTCCAGACTGCGACCAAGAGCGTCCATCCATCGCACACGGTGGCCATGAGGCACGGCCTCGTCTGGTGCTGGAAGTGCGCTCGCTATGGGAGTGTGGTCCGAGGTGTGTGTGTGTGTGTGTGTGTGTGTGGGAGGGGGCTCATGTTGTTTGCAAAGCCTTGCGATGAGAAGGTCGCTGATTCTGGTAGGCGGTATCTTCGGAATTTGCGGAGCGGCAAGCCCCCCAAGCCAGGGACACCCTGGCCCATGCCCCCCCGCGCTGAGGACTTGGGGGTCCAGGGGGGCTTGACCGTCAAGAATTCGTTTCCGACAAAGACCCGTAAGCAAGTTTACTGAGAGCCATCCTTCATGAAGGATGCGTTTGCCAAGCTGTGCCATCGGTGCTGACCTGGGGACCTGCTGTAACCTCCTGTAACCTCCCTCTTCCCCCTCCCTTGCTCTCCTTTCCTCTCTCCTCGCTGCAATGCAATGTGCTACTCTTCCATCCTCCCCTTCCTCTCCCTCCTCCCTCCATCCTTCCCCTCTCCTGCCTGGCCCCCTCCCTCCGCAACTTGCTGCAATGGGCTGTGTTGCAACTGCAATGCGAAAGCTGCACAGTTCACTGCAAAGCAACGAAACATAATGCAATGCAATGCAATGCAGCGCAACGCAATGCACTGCAATGCAATGCTATGCAGTCCAACGCAAAGCAACGGAACCCAACGCAATGCAATGCGATGCAAATGCACATGCACATGCAAATGTAAATGCAAATGCCAGTGCACATGCAACGCAACGCAATGCAAGGTAACGCAAATGCAAGGCAATGCAAACGCAATGCAGATGCAAATGCACATGTACACGCAATGCAGATGCGACTGCAAATGAATATGCACATGTAAACGCATATGCAGATGCAAACGCACATGCAACCGCAATGATACTACACATCCAACTGCAATGCAGAACGCACATGCACAGGCAAAGACAACTGCGAATGCGGCTGTAAATGCACCGCAGCGCATGGCAATGCAATTGCAAGGCCATGCGCATTCAATGCAGATGCACATGCAACTGCACATGCAGATGCACATGAACATGCACATGCACATGCACATGCACATGCACGTGCACATGCACATGCACATTCACGTGCAAATGCACATCTGCATGCAACTGCACACGTACATGCAGACGCAAATGCACACGCAATTGCAAATGCAACTGCACATGCAATGCAGATGCACATGCAGATGCAGATGCAGATGCAAGTGGAACTTCAAGTGCGCATGCAGATGCAACATGCACATGCACATGCACATGCACATACAATGCAAGGCAAATGCAAGGCAAGGCAGTGCACATGCAGATGCAACGCAGCACGGTGCGCCCGCCCGCACGCCTGACCGCCCGCCCGCTCTCCTGCCCGCCCGCTCGCCCCTCCACGCGGGCCTCCCATCCGTTCCAGTCTATCCCATTCCACGCCATTCCACGCCATTCCATTCCATTCTGCCCTGCCCATTCCATTCCACTCCATTCCACTCCATTCCATTCCATTCCATTCCACGCCCTTCCATTCCATTCCGCCCATTCCATTTCATTCGGTCGCACTCCTCCCTTCCCCTCCCCACCCCCCACGCGGTCATTTTGGGTCAAAGCATTTGCTCTGGGCGCAGCCGTGTGGGACAGCGGAAGGGCTGGTTGACTGGTCGGCGGGCGAGCCGGCGTCCAGAGGCCAACTTCGGCACACCCCTCACATGGATCGCGCTTAGGGGCTAGAGGTAGTTTCTTAGACCGGACATTCCATTTTTTGTGATCCGTACTATACCGGAAATGTTTTTTTTTGACCCGCGACTTCAGGTTGGCGGGGCGACGCTCTGGTAACGGGAGCGGGGCGGGAACCAGCATCCCTTGCCAGGAGTTCGGGGGGGTGAATTTGACAGGCCTGTCGCCCCTGAAGGAGTCGTCGTCTTGCCGCCCTTTCTCCTCCTTTCCCTGTTGCTCTTCCTCCTCGGTGGGGGCCTCCCTTGGCGCCCATCGGGGCGGTCGGAGATGTGGAGGGAATGGGAGGGGAGGAGGATCAGGGGGAGGAAGAGGGGCAGGACAGATGGGATTACTTGGCCGCAACCGGCAGTATTGTGGAAACGCGCAAGACCTCAAGAGAACCCAGATCGACTCCAAGGCGGCCCCGCGAGAGCAGCACGTTTCCGCGATAGTCTCAAAGCACCAGGGGATCCAACAATGTGGCAGGTTCGTGTCGCGACGACATCGGCGTTGGTTTCCGACACCGCGTGGTTCGGTCATTTTCGAGGGATGGGCGGCCTTCCGATCGGCAGATCGCTCTCTCTCTCTCTCTCTCTCTCTCTCTCTATATATATATATATATCCATGTATATATTGGCCGACGCCACCGCGGCGTTCAACTTTTGAACGCCCACGGCGGTTCGCCGCGGCGTCAACGCGACACGAATCCACCTTACCCTCAGGGCGACCCCAAAGTGCCCAGTGATCTGCATTGCAGCCATTTTGGCTCAGGCCATTCTGGCTCATGTCTGTTCGGTGCACCCCGCCAGTGCCCTTCCGCGCTGGGTGGCCGAAGCTCTCTGAGGCGTCCCCGAGGACTCTCTGACTGCGACAGCCTCACGGCATGCATCAAGGGGACGATGATACGGGGAACATCTGCCAGGCGTTTTTTTCCGGCAGCTGTAAGTACGGCGACCGCTGCATCTTCTCTCACGCGTTCGTGCAGGCGGGCTCGAAGAGGGAGACCGTTGGCAGCAGGGCCGCCGCGGCGCTGGCCGCGTCGCAGGCGTCCGACAGCTCCAGCGACCAGAGCTCCAGCTACGGCTACGGCCAGGGCAGCTCGCGGTCCTGGGCAGACCAATCGCAGGACATCTGGCCCGAGGTGCCCCGGCCGCCGTCGGCGCAAGCTCCCACCAGGGTTCGAGACGCGCTCCCCCCTGGCTTCGAGGTCATCGGCTGCACCTGAGAGTGATCCTTCGTCAGAGTGGCCCCTGGTGCGGGCTCCGGGAGGTCTCGAGTGCCCCCCAGTGCTGGCCTGCGCGCTCGGCCCCGCCGCGGCCTCCGCGAGCCGCGTGCCAGAGGCCACCTCTTGCCCAGGGTCCCTCTCTCGCCTGCAGCCGAGAGGTCAGCGGGTGGCAGCTCCCCAGCTTCGGCGACCGCCTCGGCTTCCCCGAGTTCATCCCCTCGGACGACGGCTCGCCGGAGCGCTCGCGGGGCTGGGGGCCGCAGAGCAAGTCGGCGCGGCGGCGCAGACAGCGGGAGCTCGGGGATCGGCGGGCCGAGTACGCGAAGGCGACTGGGGATGGCCAAGGGGGGGGGGTCATGATCAGCGGGGGCCCTGCTATCTCCCCAGGTCCCACGGCCCCTCCTCTTGCTCCACTGCGCCCCCTGCACCCCCCCCGCGGGTCCGCGCACGTGCCTCGGGCCACGACCTCGGCGCACGCCCCCCGAGGCGAACGCGAAGCGCTCGGACGAGGCGGTGGCCGCCGCCCTGGCCTTCCAGGCGCGCCCGTGCGACCGCTCGGCGCCGCACCTGGACTTCCCCCGGTCGGAGGAGGACTCGCCGGTGAGACCCCCCGCGCCCAGGCCGACCCCGCGGCCGGAGCAAAAGGAGAGGGCTTCGGATGGCGCGCGCGGCGCCACGGAGCAGGAGGACTTCGGGTGCAACTCCTGGGCGAGGTCAACTTCTGACGTTGCCCTGGCCCGAGATCTGGCCTAATCCTCAATCCAGCTTGTAGTCCCGCCGAACCCAGATGAATGCTGCTGGCTCCGGCTCAATCCCGCTTACCCGCGGCCTAGTCGCTGCGCAGCAGCCCCCCAAGGGGGCTTTAATCTCCTTACTCCTTCCGACGAAGGCCTTTCAGTGGTTGCCTCCTAAGAGGACGAGGACGAGGACGAGGACGAGGACGTGCAGGAGCAGCTGCCCAGGCCTGCGTGCCCAGGGAAGCGGAGGAACATACTCTCGCTGTGACATTGGTGCCGCGCGGGGAGGCGCGCGCTCCTTTTTTGCTTGTGTAGTTCGATCACCGCGTGCCCGCGAGCAGGTACAATTCGCCGTTCTCTTTAGCCCCTCCTGCTGCGGACCTTGCCACGTTCCACAGCGGCGCGATTGCAGTTTTCAGAGTAGTTCCTTGCAAAGTTTGGCCGCTGTTGCCCTGGCCTGCCTTTGCTGCTAGAAGGCGGACTCGGCCACCGTTTAGGTATTTCCTTCTGAGGGCCGTCTGGTCGGGATGCCCTTTTAATCACCCGTTCCCCACCAGCGACCCTGGTTGTATCCCCGCCTCCCCATCCCCTCCTGTATCCCCTTTCTTTTCACATTTTGCGCCTGCAACACTTGGGGCAAGTTGGGACAGGACATCGAAGGCGAAGCCTCTCAATATATTTCAATGGATTTTCGTTTTCCCTGAGTAACTAGGTGGCAACCGCGTGGCCATGATGACAAGTGGCCCTGAAGCGCGCGGCAACGACGAATGCTGACTAGTGGCCCTGAATCTCGCGGCAACGACATGCGTGCCGAAGCCTTTAATATCTTATTGCGGAATGAGAAAAGTACCCAGTGACACGCACATGGTCTCAACTTCGCTTTCAGCAAGGCATAGGAAAAGCAGCCAAACATCTGTGCAATGGGCAATCCAGAGATGGCTGAATGACCATACGATACCCCCCAGGCGGGCCCAAAATGTCTGAAGCAATGCCTGAGCACGACACTATGATCCAAGCACGGCCGTGATTTGATCTGAGGATGACCCCAAGACAACGCCAACTCGAAATCAAATTGCAGGATTCGAATCCCGCCCGTGACTTGTGTCGGCGGCGAGCCCGGGGGGCAATGAGAAGGAGAAGGCCTCCTCAGAAGGCTCGGAAGTTCCCCAGCCTTCTGAGCAGCTTCTATGCTTCACCGAAGACGCAACCAACTTTTCAGAAGGCGCGAAGGCTTCTGAGAAGTCCCGCCGACTTCTGAGAAAGCCTTCTCCTTTGCACTTCCCCCCCTTTGTTCGCCGCCGATTATTGGAACTGCATTGCTTACGTGTGGAATCTTTCATCCGGATACATCAGGAGAGCGATATCCCGGCCAGACCACGCAAGACGAGGATCTTGCTAGGCTTCTGTAGGGGGGTTCAATGCCTCTTGAGCCCTCTGGTCCCCCTCAGGGCTGCCGTCGCGGTAAGCTCGTCTCTGTGAACAAGAATGCATTGCGGTAAGGAACTTTCGGCGCTGCGCTGTATTATGACGACGACGATGGTGACGGATATGTGGCTGATAATTGTGATACTGATGTTGATGATGATGGTGATGATGAGTGTGATGATGATGATGATGATGATGATGATAGTGGTGATGATGATGATGCTGGTGAAACTGATGATGATGAGGATTAGGATTATCATGGGGATTATGATGCTAGTGGTGATGCTGCTGATGATGATGCTGCTGATGTTCATGATGCTGTTGATGATGATGATGATGATGATGATGATGATGATGATGACAATGATGACGATATTCATGACGATGCTGTTCATGACGATGCTGATGACGACGATGATGATGATGATGCTGATGACGACGATGCTGATGATGACGGACGATGACGATGCTGATGACGATGCTGATGACGACGATGATGATGACGATGCTGATGATGCTAATGCTGCTCACGATGATGCTGCTGCTGATTATGATGATGTTGATGATGATGATCATGTTGATGACGATGCTGATCCTGCTGATGCGGATGATGATGATAATGATGATGATAATGATCAGGATGATGCTGATGATAATGATGATCATGAGCGTTGTGATTATGATAATGACGACGTTGATGATGATGGTGGTGGTAGTGGTTGTGATGATGACGACGACAATGACGATAACGACGACGCTGATGATGATGGCTGACGATGTCTGATGAGGATTATGATGATGATGACGACGATGATGATGATGATGATGATGATGATGATGATGGTGATGATGATGATGATGATGAGGATGATGAAAAGGATGAGGATGAGGTTGATGATGATATTGCTGACGCTGCTGCTGATGAAGTTTTCTTGAATTTTCATGTCAATCGAGTAATTATTGTTGATCCCCCTTCCCCGGTGCACCTGGTGTTTCTAATTAAAGTGCTCCCCGGGCTCGCGCCCTGGTTCTTGACACGGGAAAGCCTTGATGCTCAGACTGTGTTGCTGGCCCCAGGCCTGCAACAACCTTTTCTCCTGCGTGCTTCTCCAATTCGTGCTTGCATTGAAGGGGTCCTAGCGGAGATTGAAAGATTTGGCGAAAATCCCGGCCGATTTCGGTGGGCGGCCGGGATCCCGGGTTCCAGTTCCAGGTTCCCCGGTTCCCAGTTTTTGGTTCCCGGTCGATCTCATTATCGATTTCATCATCGGTCTCACCATCCATTTCATTCAATCGAATTGTTCTCGGTTTTTCTACCGAGCTTACTCTTGAGGTCACTATCGGTATCCGTATCGATCTCACTGTCGATCACACTTTCGGTATCACTATAGATCTCACCATCGATCTCACGATCGATCTCAGGATCGCTCTCGCCATCGGTCTCACTATCGATATCTTCATCGATGTCACTATCGATCTTACTGTCGATGTTACTCAATCTATCTCGCTATCGCTCTCACTGTCGATATCATCATCGCAACCGATCTCACTGTCGATCTCACTTAATTGATACCACGATCGATCTCACTATCGAAGACACGATCGATCTCACGATCGATCTCATTCACCTCACTGCCAACATAACTATCGACCTTACTGTCGATCTCACTGTCGATCTCACTGAAAGGATCTCATGATCGATCGCACTATGGTAGTCACTATCGCTAGCATAAGAAAGCACAGCATATAGCATAGCACGGGACACCCCCGCGCCACGGGACACCACGGGACACCACGGGACACTACGGGACACCATCGGAACACCATCGGGACACCATCGGGACACCAACGGGACGCCATCGGGACACCACAGGGCAACTGCTGGCCAACCCGGGGGACAGCAACGTTTGCTTCGGCTTCGTCCTGGCAGTGGCGGGTTCATGTCTCTCGCCCGCTCACGCAGCTTCGCCTCGCCCGCACGGGCGACACGAACGTGAATCCGAATCCGATATCTCGCTAGGGGGGTCTCCGTTTCACTGCGACCTCACTCCCAACCTCCGGTAGAGAGAGAGAGAGAGAGAGAGAGAGGGAGAGAGAAAGAGATAAGCAAACAACCATGACAAACACATCTGAAAGAGGCGGTGTGTGTGTAGAGAGGTAGAGAGAGGTAGAGAGAGAGAGAGAGAGAGAGAGGCAAAGAGGCATGAAGAGAACGTGCGCGTATGTATACATATGTGTATTTGGGTGGCGACACTGAAAACAGCTTTTCCTGCATTTGGACCGCGTAGGGACCACATTTGGCCCATCCTCCTGGTCCTCCTATCCCCTCCTGTTCCCCCTCCTCCTCCTCGTTCTTCCAGTACCCGCGAATCCAATCTGAATCTGGTCCAAATCGGACAGCGCCTGGGGCCACGCAGGCTCCCATGGAACGGACACCAAATGCATATATATATATATATATATATATACATATCTATAGATTTAAAGGTACATCTATACGATGCATCTACATAGGTGTATCTGTACGCATATGAAGGTAGGCGCTGGCATCCTTCGGTGGAGATCCCCGAGGCGCTCGACTGGGAGGCGCTGGCCAGTGACCTCCGCCGCTTGCGGCAGGCGCAGCGGATGGCGTTGCTGCGGACGTGGGTCGGGGCCTGGCCGACGGCAGCGCGACTCCAGTCGCGCGACGAGCCGTGCGTCTTGGGCTGCACGGCCAGGGCCGACTCCATGGTGCACTACGACGAGTGCCCGCGCCTGCGCGGCGCCGCAGAGAGCGCTGGGCCACGGGCTCGCCACGTCTCATGGCGCCAACATCGCATGGCGGATTTCGTTCGGAAAACGATAGGGTGGGCCTGGAGTGTCCTGGGAGAATTTTGCTCTGGATTGCGAGGTGAAGTTCGTGCGGATTTTTTGGGTCCAGGCATGGAGACCAAAAAGAACCCACGCGAAATTCACTTTATTTTTCGCTCGCCGTTTCTGGCCAAAACCCACGCAGAAAGCCACGCAGAAATCCGCTGCAGCACGTCTTGCAAAGCCGGCGCAGTGACACGATGACGCGTCTGCCCGGGAACGCCTGGCTCTAGACACCGGGGCCGCGGAACCCGAACAATGGGAGAGGGCCTGCGACGCCGTGTTGATATGCTATCTCCATTGAGTGGTCTCCCATCGCCAGTCGTCTTTCCCCCCCTCGCCTCAGACTGGAGCCGAAGCTGGCTGTGCCGCCCATCAGGCCACGGATCGGGCCATTGGACAGTTCCGCCGGCCTCGCTAAGTGCAGCAGACTTTTGCGAGAACGGTGGCAAATATATGCACGAGTCGGTACAGGGAGTGACCCATATAGGAATAGAGAGAGAGAGAGAGAGTGAGAGAGAGAGAGAAATAACGAGAGGAGAGAGAGAGAGAGAGACAGAGAGAGAGCGAGAGAGAGAGAGAGACAGAACAAACAAAGAGAAAGGGAGAAACATATAAACAGAGAGATAGAGGAACACAGAACTACTAGAGTGGACTAGAACGTATATTCGAATTTCACCAGGGCGGGAGGTAGGCCGATTGAGCCACTCGCGGAACATCGAACAAAAGCCAATGACTGGGATTTCTCTGGTGTAATGCATGCAGCATGTAACATGTAACATTCGCATGTGAGCATGTAACATGCTCACATGTTTTCCGCATTAGCGCTCTTTCGCGGGACGTCCTAATATTTGATAGTGGAATCGCGTTTTCGCATGGGACACCTCGCATTTGTAGACGCTTCGCGTTATCCCCCGAGCCCATCCAGGCACGACGCCCACGCGAGCTGCGTTGATTTGGGAGGTGGAGGAGCGTGCAGTGGAATCGGCGGATGAGGAGGAGGAGGAGAAGAAGGGCAGCCCATCCAGAGACGATTCCCAGACGAATTGCCATGACCAAGGATGTGGGGGAGCATACATACGAACACGGGGATCGAGAAACTGTCGTACCCCAAGAGGGGGAGGGGAGAAGGAGGATGAACTTGATGATGATGCTGATGTCGAGGAGCAGGAGGAGGAGAAACAGGATAAATATAATTCCAGAGCCACGCCACCATCGACCTTCACCCTACCACGGACGACGAACACAAAAAGAAGACTCACATTCAAAACGCCATTCAAGCAGACGCACACCAACCGACGCCCAAACCAACCAAGTAGCCTAGTTTTCACGATACGGCAACGGCCTACAGGCATTTGCAGCACATTACCGAGACAACTTAGCACTACAAGTGCAAGTTGCCACGATTTACCAGGATCTCGACGAGCTGCTCGCAGGTGGACACGCCCCGCTCAACACCGTCAATATTGCCGCCATACAAGAAGTTTCCCAATGGCTCCATACATGCCACGATGTAGACGACATCCTGAAATACGGCTGGGCGGTAAGCGGTCGCGAGACAGCCAATCTACTACAACATATCTGCAACCCAACTATTCTAAGGCGCAACGCCGCAACCGCGCATGGCGACAGCGACGGCTCCAGCGAGCTAAAAGCCAATACTGGCGCCCAACAACAGACGCAGGTTACCGACCAAACCACCACCACCATCATCACACCCCAGCAAGCCCAAGCCATTTGCACCCACTCTACCACCCTTGTGGGTGACACACGACAGCCCAACGAACCCGACTCAACAAACCGAGCCAGCGCCTACCATAACAATAGCAGTGCCATTACCAGCCCATCTACACAACACACCTAGCGGACCGACTCCACCAGTAGTCACCGAACAAGTCACCATACACGCCCACACCCAACAGCAACAAAACACGATCCCAAGCAAACCGATGCTCAAACTTCACGTCAGCAAGACTATTACAACCATCGCCACGCCAACGTACCAGCGACCCTACAAGCCGCCTCCAGCACAACTGATTGACCAAGCCAACCAGCCAACACAACAACTACAGACCACGCCCAACAACAACACCGCGCCAGCGACGCAAAACACGATCACACCCACATTCACGACACTGGTCAGATGGTCGCCATCTCACCTTGTCATACCAGCACGCCCACCACCAGCCGCAACTAAAACACCCATCATTTACCCACCAGGCGAAGACATGAACGCCCAACAATGGATACAGTAAATTCCATGGCGACGTCTGGCTTTACAGACGCTTGCACCACGCCACACTTACTTCCCGATTGTTACAGCCACGCACCACGCGTCAGCAAGACGTGGAAAATAGCAGATCCACATCTTCAACCGACGCATCATCTTCATCAACAATGTCGGCGACCCTACGTTCCAAGACTACATCGCCAGGTCCCGCGCGCATCAGGCCCACTGCGGGATCTACCTCAACAGCTTGCGCGGATACACGCTTGGCGCACTTTTCAGGGAGCTCCCACCCAAACAACTGGTAACACTACGCAGGGCTATACCCGAGCCCAAAACGACGCCCACCAACATGCGCCAGTCTATGTGATCGAGATGGCGACCAACGCGTCTCCCACAACCGGCACAGGGCAGCAAGCAGCAAAGGATACCGCGACATTCGCGGCCAGTACCTCCTCCTGTCCAATTACCGCGGAAGAGCCACGTCTGATCTCGATCGATGGCAGGCGCGTTCACTTGCAGTATGCCTCACACAGTACTCCCTACTGATATGTAAGTACCCTCCCCTCGCGCGGCCTGTGTCCATGCTTGCTCTGTCGTGCTCGATACGTTGGTGGCACTTCTCTCTCTCTTTCTCTCTCTCTCTCTCTAAGAAGGGTTGGGGTCGCCCTTTAAAGTCCTAGGTCGCAGCCCAACCATTGCACGCCTCTTTCTGTTTTCACTATTGGGTCCCCACGGGGATACACCATGCAGGCAGTTCTTACCATTGCTATCCAGCTATACTGCACTTGGTGGGAGGTTGGGGAGGATACCATACAGCATTCACTGTACTTTGGCGACGCCGCGCCACGTTTTGCAGCTCTGAGCTTCCTTGCGTGCGGTCCCGAGCCGCATATTGCCAGAGGCATCCGCTCTCGCCAGACCTCAGAGCAGCTACTGCAGTTTGGCGACGCAGCGCGACATTTTTAGAAGTGTGTGTATCACCTCACAGTTCTCTTGTCTCACTACCCCTAGTTACCCTCCACTTGCGCCCCCGTTTCCAGCACTCTGGTTGCACCCTTCCCCAGCTAAGGTTCGGGGTGGCCCTGCAAACACATGTCTCAATCAATTGGATGCCGCGCAGCAGCTGCATCGATTTTACGCATGGGCTGGGTGGGGTAGGGTGGAGTGGAGTGTGTGTGTGTGGTTGTGTGTGTGTGTGTGTGCGGGTGTGTGTGCGGGTGTGTGTGTGTGTGTGTGTGTGTGTGTGTGTGTGTGTGTGTGTGTGTGGGGGTCCGCTTGAGTGTGTGCGTGTGTGTGTTTTCTCAGTGCTTCTTCTAGTCTCTGTCCCGACCTTGCCGCGATGCGAGGTAGGCCCCGCCGGCGCCTACGCCGCCGCCAGCCTCTTCACTTTGATTGCTCGTGCTCTCTCTGTCAATCGTTTTTTTGTATGCCTATTGCAGCTGTTCGGGGTTTAGGCTAGCGCTCAAGTGGCACAGGGCCGCGCGCGCGTACGTGGGCCCCGAACAGCCTCTCAGAAGATCAATGTCATGGCGTTCTCTCTCTCGGGAGAACTTGCTTGATTCTGTTTTCCAGTACGGGGATCCGGTGTCGCGGGTACGTCTTGGAACTCACAGGTCAAGCTCAGAACACTTCAAAGTGTGTTCGCGTCGGGGTGGATGGGATTCCTACCAGGGGCTCTGTGCCGCAGACGCGATCTACATACCGTCATATCGATCATGCGATATACGTTCATGCTCGATCTATTCTGTATACCCTCCACTTCCTTGTACCATAAGGAGTTTGAAGATCTGGATTCTGCTGTTTGCTTGTACGCATGGGGCCCAGGGTACTCTGCAAACGAAGGGGGATCAACAGGTTCGGAATTTTCTCGAACACCATGTTCCCCATCCGCAGTGATGCTGATTTCCCTGGGCGCGTTCTAACTCTGCAGCTCCGTTGGCAAATCGCGGAAATCAGCTGCTGGAGCCACTGTTTGCCGTTGACCTCCTCGACCGCCGCGAAATGCCAAGTCGCTTTCCACCTCAGTGCTCCCTGTGCTGCTAATTTGTGGAACTTGATTTCGGAAAAGGCCGTCGGAGCTCTTCCTCGCGGGGCTTATTGCGCGCGAGACAGATATGCTCACAGCGCTACGCGTCTCCAGTGCCGACCGTGGGTCAATATTCTTCTGGAACCTGTATGCGGTCACTTTTTGTCTGAGCATTGCTCGGATCCGCGTGATGTGGACAGCAGACCGCCGACAACAGCGGGATGCACAACGACTGTTGTTCGATGTCCCCTCTCATGGAAGATGCTTTGTCCCGTCGTGGTGCTGCGAAATTTCGCCAGACTCTTCAACTCTTTGATCTTCTCGAATTTCAATTTCGACGCGGTTTCGGAACCAATTTGAGATGCAACAAGGACATGCGTCTTCTATACCAGCTTGGAATTAAGGACTTGTGCATCGGGCAAAAAGTGTTTTCGAGAGTTTCAGCTATACGGGCGGGCGTCCCGTGTCGTTTTCGAGAACACCTCCGAGGCCTCGAATGTGTCCGCGCAGGGCCCCCCCCGCCCTGACCCTCATCGATTTCGGTGCCTTCTCCGAGGTTGCAGCACGTGCGTGATGTTTCTCGTGATTGACGCCGTGAGAACGTCGGGGGCCTTCAGCGTGGAGAGTGATCGCATCGCCTTCTGCCAGCCTCGTGCAAATAATCTAGCTATACCAGCGTGCGTTCCGAAGGGGCGAGGACGTCAGGGGGCCAAGGGGGAGACGCTTAACCCGCGACCCCCCCGACGCCGACGGGGTCGAGCTGCGCGTCGTCGCCCCCTTGAGACCCCGCCCGAGTTCTTCGACCATCGGAATCAGTGCGCCCAGGCCCAGCTAGATGAGCACTGCCAACAGCACCTTGGACAGCGACGCCATTTGAACCTTCGGAGGTTTTGGCAAAAGACTTTAGGTGGAACCTTTGGGGAGGTATGCGATTTCTTTATCCAGCGAGCTCTTGGACATGGTCTGGGACATGGTCCTATTAACATCCTCGACTCGGAGTGCTCCCCATTACTAGTTAGGCGGTACGCTGCGCGACCAGAAACTGCTGCATGGTCACGTAAATGCGCGCGACGCGTTCACGGCAGCGATCGCGCATGTGCATACTGGCATCTATGTGCCTTACTTGCCCGCTATCATGGCCGACTCCGTGTTCAAGGCACTATGCGCATATGCTTGCATGCTCTTCGGCTTCCCCCCCAGGACCTCTCACGCTTGAGGTTAGCTCTAGTGCCCGGGCCCCGCGCGCCCGAGCCTGGATTCGACGAGTTTCCGAGCTGCTTCGCGGGAGTAGACCAGCCTGGTGCCAAGTTTTTTTCGGCGATCTACGCGCGTCGTGGTGGAACCCGTCCCGACGATTAAAAAACAGTTCGTATCCTTGGGAGGTTTTATTAAGAAGTTTGATTTCAGCGACCTCGACAAGCTGGCAGTTGGGGATCTGAACAGCGCCTCGAGAGGCAAGGACATGTATCGAGCGGCAGTCGACGGCCGCGCAGCACTCCCATCGTTTTGCGCGGGCGTGGACATCCACGCTGCTTTTGATCAGTGGCTGCGACGGGCAGGTGTGCATCCTGCCACCCTGCCGCCGAGGCTCCGGCCCAAGACCATGAACGCGAACCAGACGAGTTGCACGGACAAAGCACCACATCTTTGCGGCAATGATGAGATGTCCTCTAATCCCCATTCGCGCGCGCACGTTCGGAGGGGCGTCGCATCGAAGGGTCGCGAAGAGGGCTTAGAATTCTCAGAGCTTCTGCCATCTTGCCCTGGTGCAATGATCCGCGATTCTGGAGGTCCTGAGAAGTTGGCGTCGATCATTGAAGATTATCAAGACCAGATGTCATGTTCCGTGGAAGGTAAGGACCCTAACGCGCTCTGGTTTTTCAACTCTGATTCCAGGTGGTCAGGTTGATGGATCTACTGAGCCGTGCACAAAGTCAATGGTGTCGTTGCTCTGCTTCGACTGCTGATATTCTCGTGTTGTACCGTTTCAAGTACGATCTATCTATTCCAGGAAGCCTTCGGGGGCGGTTTCAAGGAGGTTTTCGGTATGGCAATTTACCATGCACCTACTCCACAATCAAGCGTAAGTGTTGGCGAGGTGAAGTGGTTTGCCCCCCCCGAAGGCCGTCGCCAATGTAGAGGCCCTGGACATTCCTGTATGCGTAACATATGTAGTTTTATTGGGCTCCCATACAGACAGATATACCGTTTCTTTGGGCGAGCTTTACGGTTTCTTTGTGATCTTGCCTGGCCAGGTTGGAGCTTTGGAAGTCTGGGCGCGGCCGTCCCTCGCGCGGTGGCCGGCGCTCAGGCCCCCCCCCCGCCCTCCCCTTCAGGCTGTTGCGCACGTTGTGGGCGCAAGGTGCGAGGGCCAGGTGTTGTCGTGGCCGGCGCGGGACAAGCGTGCGAGGATATCCCCATTCCCCTTATTTGGCGCAGCCTGGACCGCTTGTTCACGCGCCTGGAAAAGATTTTGAAGTGTCGCACTGTCAGTGTCCTTCGCACCCGTCGCTCCCGCTGCCGCCTCGGGGGACGCGCTGAGGGCCGTCTATGGCGCCGTATCGTCCTCTACTTTAACAGCCTCAAGAGCGCCCTCACAGGTTTCATGAGTACGTATGCGTTACTTCCGTCTTGGTAATGTTTGCATGAAACAGAAACGGGGGATTCTTATAGGTGGACCTCTCTCGGGTGTTGTGATACATATCGTCCTTAGTGAACAGGAATGGCATTGTGGCTCTAAGTGGCCTACTCGACGTCGACGATTATGTGCTGGGCGCTATGTTGATGGCGTGCTGTTAATTTCTATTCGATATTGTTACGGCTGTCTTTTTGTTGTTTTGTCAGAGGTGTATTCGGGGATTGTGAAGTTCAACGTCGAGCCTGAGAAGAAACCCGTGAACTGCGGGGCCGTTCTCGTTTCATATCTGGAGGCTGATCAACGCATTTCGCTCTGGGGGGTACGTGTGCTTATGGTCCATAAGAACGAGGCCTGCGCCATTACAGGCGACCCCACGCACTACAAAAATAAGCCTCTTCCCCTCTACCTGGGCACTATGACGCCGCGTGTGCTTGGTCAACTACGGGGAGAGCTCAGGGGGCGTCTTCATCGGTGGGAGGCGTACAGCCTAACTATGGACAGCTGGATGGTGCTGATCTGCATGGATATGCTATTTTTCTTCGGCCGGGCTACCCCCCTCAGATCCTGAAAAAGATGTGGGCCTCGTTTTTTCCTCCAGGAACCCGACGGGACCTTGCAATGGCATTTCTGGCGTTAGCGACGCGTGCCAGTAAGCACCTGATCCCGTCATCGCAGCACCTCTTGGCTCACCTTGATCAGGACTGCAGCAGTATACCAGCGCTCGCAGGGCCACGGCCCTCGGGCCCCCGCCCAGTCGATATGTACGGGTTTGGGGGGCGCCGCCCGAAGGGCAACGGCCATGGCCTCGGTCGAGGCCCTGCCCCTCGCTACGGTAGCCCCTACGGGGGAGGCTACTCCCAGCCAGCACCGCAGCAGAGTGGCGGTTTCTGCGACATGCCCAGTCAGATGCACGGCTTCGTGGACCAGGTCACGGCGCTGGGGGCAATGGGCAAACTCGGCGCGCAGCTTGCGCAACAACAGCAGCAGGCCCAGCAGGGCTCTGCGGCCGCCGTCCCACCTGCGACGACCCCGGCGCTGCCCGCCCGCGAGATGGCCGTGGCCGCAGTGTCCGTTCTCGAGAATCGCGAGCGATGCCAGCAAGGGGGCCGCCCTGGAGGAGCCAGCAGGCTGAAGACTACGATCGACCGCCTCTCGTCTCTCGTGGGCAGCCCCCCGAACGGCACGGGAACGGCTCCGACGCCCTCGAGCAGGCCATCGAGCAGATCGGAGTGGTCCGCCGTCTCCGAGCCGACCTACAGGGCGTTGCCCAGGTCGAGACGCACGGGCGCCAGCTTGGGGAGCTCCAGCGCGCCGCCGAGGGCGCCGCCGACGACGTCGAGGCCATCCGCGCCCTCCTCGAGGGGCGCTCGGCTCCGTGGGGGCGCCCGCCGAAGAGCGGGGGCCGTGGCCTTGACCCGAGCTCGGCCAAGGGAACGGCACCCAGTGGCGCGGCCGCCAAGGTCAAGCCTGAGGTCGGCAGCAAGATCCCCATGGCGAAGGCTCTCATGGACTTCGACACCCACTTCGAGCTGATTGGGGCCATCGGTGTTGGCTCCAGTCGCAGTGACATGCAAGAGCTTGCGACCGCGCTTAAGGGGCCCAACGGGACCCATATTGCCTGCGGCGAGTGGTCGAGATACATCAGGCCATGCGAGAGTCTCGCACAGTGGAAGACCAAGCTCGCTACGATCGGAGCCCCCGCCTCAGCGACTGATGAAATCTCCAGCTTCAAGGATGTAGGCGAGCCAAGCTACGGCCGCATCTCAGAATATGGCACTCGGAGCGAGGCGACTTTGCAGGATATCAGGCTCAATTGACGGCCCAATCCTACTCCGACCGAAGCTGCGACCCCATGTCTGCCTCAGGGTACCACGCCGATAGGACCGAGCACCGGTACGAATACCCCTCCTGCACATCTGTCTCCTCGTTTTCCCCAGATCTTCATTCCTTGCTTCTCGATCTGCATGTGCTGTCTGTGTGTGGTGTGCAAATCAGGCGTGCCTCTTTGTAGAACAAGTGCGCGCGGTGGTCGACTACACGTGTGAGCGTATCATGACCGCCGCCATGTCCTCAGTGCCGCTGATCGCGGTTGGATGGTTTGCCGCGCACTTCCTGGGACGCCGCCGCGCTGCCCTACAGTCGTGTCTAGAGGCCGCTGCGCCACAAGCAGCTGCAGCACTGACAGATTGTTCCGTACTGTCGTCACCTATGTCCACATCAATGGACGCTGCTCTCGTTTGGGGTATACGTTTTGCAGGGAGCTCTTTGTGGACAGGTGCCGCGTGCATGATCTCTACTTCAGATGTGGTCCCACCTCTTCCTGACAAACAACCTCGAGTGCGAATTGTTCCTTGTGGGTATTTCGCTGGTCTTATGTGGGGGCGCCCTCCAGAACTTTATTCGGGCAGCGCTATTCGGGGTGCGCGCTTTCACGCCTTACCGCGCATCGCGTCTCACGTCTGAGTGCCTAGTCATCAAGTCACGTTTTGCTAGGATGGATTCAGATTTATAACCTTGTGCCTTCTGCCTCTAGGGCTCGGAGCCTCTATGAGGGCCCATGGTGCCGTCCTCTAGGGGGGCCCCTTGTGCCTGACCCCGCTCTCGACCCGTGCCGCTAGGTTTTGTTTGTTTCGTGCCCTCCCTGCAATGTCTTGGGGCGGTTTGTGTGTGTATGTGTGTGTGTGTGTGTATGTGTGTGCGCGTGTGTCTTCTCAGTGCTGATTCTAGTCTCTGTCTCAACCTTGCCGCGGTGCGAAGTGGACCCCGCCGGCGCCTGCGCCACCGCCAGCCTCTTTACTTTGTTTGCTTGTGCTCTCTCTCTCTCTCTCTCCCTCCTCCTCTCTCTCTCATTCTCTCTTTCTCTGTCAATATCTCTTTTGTATGCATATTGCAGCTGCTCGGGGTTTCGGCTAGCGCTCAAGCGGCACAGGGCCGCGCGCACGTACGTGGATCCCGAACAGCCTCTCCGAATATAAATGTCATGGCGTTCTCTCTCGCGGGAGAACTTGCTTGATTATGTATTCCAGTACGGGGATCCGGTGTCGCGGGTACGTCTTGGAACTCACAGGTCAAGTTCATAACACTTCAGAGTGCCTGTGTGTGTGGGGCGGGGGGATAACATGCGGCATGAAGTGCACTTTGGCGACACTTCGCCAAATTTTGCAGCGCAGAGCTCACTTACGCGTGCCCTCGAACCACATGTTGCCAGAAGCATCCGCTCTCACTCGACCTCGCAGCAGCTTCAGCATTTTGGCGACGCAACGCCATTCTTAACATCAAACAAATTCACTGTGCGCATCACCTCACAATTCTCTTGCCTCTTTACTTCTATGTGCCCTCCGCATTACCCAGTGGCCAGCCTCATCCTACAGGCCAGCCTGAGTTCACAAAAGGGGGAATGTACGGAGGAGTTCAAGAGTAGGCCAGCCTTACAGGCCAGCCTTGCAACGCATCGATCGCGCTGCAGACAGTGAGAAATCGCGGGTTCGTGCTGAACCAGAGCAAAACAACACAATCAAAGCACAAGGGTCCTGGTGGCGAGGTGGTTTGGGGCAAACCCCTAAAACACTTGGGCTGCAACCCAATATTTTTGAAGAGAGAGAGAGAGAGAGAGAAAGAGAGAGAGAGAGAGTGAGAGAGAGAGAGAGAGAGAGAGAGATACATATATATATATATATATATATATAGAAACGCCAAAGCTTCCCCGAAGAAAATGTCATGGCGTTCCCTCTCGCGGGAGAACGTGCTTGATTATGTATTCCAGTACGGGAATCCGGTGTCGCGGGTACGTCTTGGAACTCACAGGTCAAGCTCATAACACTTCAGAGTGTCTGTGTGTGTGGGGCGGTGGGATAATATGCGGCATTAAGTGCACTTTGGCGACACTTCGCCAAATTTGCAGCGCAGAGCTCACTTACGCGCGCCCTCGAACCACATGTTGCCAGAAGCATCCGCTCTCACTAGACCTCGCAGCAGCTTCAGCATTTTGGCGACGCAGCGGCATTTTTTTCGAAAATCAAACAAATTCACTGTGCGCATCACCTCACAATTCTCTTGCCTCTTTACTTCTATGTGCCCTCCGCATTACCCAGTGGCCAGCCTCATCCTACAGGCCAGCCTGAGTTCACAAAGGGGGAATGTACGGAGGAGCTCAAGAGTAGGCCAGCCTTACAGGCCAGCCTTGCAACACATCGATCGAACTGCAGACAGTGTGAAATCGCGGGTTCGTGCTGAACCAGAGCAAAACAACACAATCAAAGCACGAGGGTCTTGGTGGCGAGGTGGTTTGGGGCAAACCCCTAAAACACTTGGGCTGCAACCCAATAGTTTTTTTTGAATATCACAAACACACATACATACAAACTCAATGCTGTGCCCTGCAGGTTGCGTGACACATTCCTCTACTGAGGAGGCGCCTGCTCCATATGCCCTCTCTTGTCCGACCTTCATACGTCCTCCTGTACAGGCTTGGTTGTGAGGAAGCCTTACAAGCCTGTACCTTCAGGCCTCCAGTGCAGTTGCTCTCACCTCAGCTTACAGGCGCGCCTATCAGTCCAGCCTGCACGGGGGATCGTACAGGGCTTGGGGTCAACCAAACAACCCAGCCCACAGTTCGGGCCTCTTTGTCTCTGCCATTGCACAGTGCCCAGGGAAGGATACTTGGATCGGAGTGGGGTCCAGTGGATGGAGGAGGAGGAGAATTTACAACTTGTATCTTCAGGCATATTCTGTGCAGCTTCTCTCGCCTCAGTTAACAGGGAAACCCATCAGGTCAGCTCTGTACGGAGGATCATGCAAGGTTGGGGGTCAACCAGAAACCTGGGCCCACAGTTCGTTTTTTTTTGTTTTCATTATTCTTATTCTTTCATTTTCGCCATTGCACAGTGGGCCTCACGGATTCCCCCCAACCCACCTTGTTATCCGACGCGTTGGTGGCTCGTCACCCTCATACCTTTAGGTTCTGTTCAGCATCTGTTTTTTTTGCCGGGTGGCCACCAGCAGCCACATGCATATACTCTGCTCCTTTTCTCCCAGGGAAGCTTGTTCTATTGTGCCACCACTTGGCCCATGCAATGAAACATGGGCGGGGTGTGTGTGTTATCGACGGGTGCGGTGGAAAAGGGAGGTACATGCTACCTACCCAGCGGCGGCCTTGCTAGGCACAGCTTGCAAGACTGCCGCCGGCACTGCGTCAATATTTGCATGTTTTATTTGCTGGTACTTGCTTTCCGAAGTGGCATTATCTATTAAAACACATTTGGATTCAGTCGTATGTGCTTTTTGTGGTGTCTTTGTTGCTAAGGTTAGTGCCAATTCGAGGGCCTGGCGGGCCTCGATTTCTTTTTTGTATTCTCGGCCTTTCTCGTTACTTACTTTATTTCCCGCGGCGCCCGCGCCCGCCAGGCGCGCCTTGACCCGAGTCGTACTATATTGTTTTTTCGCACTTCATGAACGCCACAGGGACACCTTAGGTCGGTCAAGCGTAAACAATAATATAAAAGGGGGAGGAGGAGGATGAGTAGGAGGAGGACGGGGAGGAGGAGGAGGCGGAGGAGGAGGCGAGGATGAGGAATCATAATAATAAGCATAATAGTACTACCAAGAAGGGAAACAAGGAACATGAGAGGAGCAAGAGACTAAGACAAAGAAGAAGGCGAATACGAATACGACGAATGATAATAACATTATGAATACACATGCTAGTATACATAAGACTATTGATAATAACAGCATTACAAAACGCTATAATAAGGATATGGGTGAAAACAGACGAATAATACCAAGAGGAAGAGGAGGAAGAGGAGGAGGAGGAGGAGGAGGAGGAGGAGGAGGAGGAGGAGGAGGAGGAGGAGGAGGAGGAGTTGGAGGAGGAGGAGGAGGAGGAGGAGAGGGAACAGGAGGAAGAGGAGGAGTGCGAGGAGGAGGAGGAGGAAATGGGAAAACGTTACGCGAGGATGATGAGGAGGAGGAGGAGGAGGAGGACGAGTGGGAAGAGGAAGAGGTGGGGGAAGGGGCAGAATGCAGGAGGGAAGAGGAGGTAAGCGGATTAGGAGGAGGATGAAAAGGATGAGGAAAATGAGGAGGAGGAAGAGGAGGAGGAAAAGGGCGAACACAAGAGCCAGGAGCCTCTTGAATGCCTCTCGGAGTCTCCTCGGATATCGCTCAGAAGTTTTTTTTGGGGGCCTCTTGGGGCGTCTGGGGTGGCATCTTGGCGGGCCCCGGGCCGTCTTTTGAGTGTCTTGGTGTTGCTGTTGCTGTTGTTGTTGTAGTGGTTCAGTGTGTGTGTGTGTGTGTTCGTTGCTCTTGCTGCTTCTGGTGTTGCTATTGTTGTTGGTGCTGCTGCTGACGGCGATGACGATGATTATGTTGACGGATGTGCATTTTTTTGGTGGTGATGTGGATGATGAGTAAGATGGTGGTGATGTTGCTGCTGTGGGTGCGACATGATAATATGGATGTTGATGTTGCTGCCGACGACGACGGTGATAATGCTGATCATATTGCTGATGATGAAGATGTTAGTGATGATGATAAGAGGAGAAGGAATTTGACGATGGGGACAATGACGAGGAGTAGAATGGGAGGAGAAGGAGGAGGAAGTGTGGGGCGACAGGGACTTGGAGGGCGTCTGTCGAGGCGATGCCCCTCTGCCCTCGCCCCGGCTGAAGCCCTCTGGCCAGGGACGTGCCAGTGGTGCAGTTCCAGACCTACGAGACGATCGTCGAGATCCCGGCGGTCATGAGGCAGGACGTGGTCACGGAGGTGGAGGAGCTGGGGGGGTCAAGCCGAAGCTTCAAGACGGCCCAACTGAGCCTTCCAAAAACGACGATTTCCCAAGGGAAATTCTCAAACAACCTGCTTCTGGCATCGTGTTCGATGTGTGTGTGTGTGTGTGTGTGTCTGTGCGTGTGTGGTCGTGGAGGTGGAGGAGCTGGGGGCTGGGGGGGACAGCCGAAGGAGAAAAGCAGCAGTGTCAGAACAGCTTTCGGAGGTCCGCGCTGCTTCGTCAGGTCGGCGCTGGACCCCTTCTGGCGGCGTTTCTGGCGCCTATGCAGGCAGTTGGCGCAGACCTCCGAAAGCCTGTGGCTGTGCGGTCTCTCGATCCTTTCGGGGGGGGATCGGTGCAGTCGAAGGAGGGCCAGGCGACAACGAGGCCTCTCCCGCCCGGCCCGAACCGAGCCAAGATCAGTCCCCGCACCCCGCCCGCGATCATCCTCACTCGCTCGTCGAGGTCTCCCAAGAAAAACTCCTGACCTGCCCGTCGAGGCGGGTCCAGCCGTGGCGACGAGAAGCCTCCGGGAGGCCCCGAGAGGACGAGACAACGCCAGGAAGGGCCGCTGGGGCCTCGACTGGCTGTCCTCCGATGCGGCCAGCCACCGCTCACCGCACTCGTCGCCGCTGGGGTGCTCGGGCTCGCCGCCGTGCCTGGGGACCTTTTGCTCTGCTGGCGGGGGGGCCTTTCGGTGATGATCGGCGGCGACGCGACGCACCGGCGACCACGAGGCGCTGTTTGCCGCACTCGTCCCACAGTGCACCAGATAGGAGACTGGTCTGCACCAGGTCCTTCTACGAGAACTTCTCCGCAAGCCATGGCGCCCTCACAGCTCAAGGAAGCGAGGAGCGCTGATTGGCCCGACGGACTCGTCAAGTATAGCGGATAGTTTTCGCCGATCGGACCTGCACGAGGAGTTTTGGCCGACAGCATTTTTTGTCTCCCGATGGGCCCGCCGAGCCTGGAGGCACCCGGCGAAGCCCAGAGTGGACGAAGGATGTGCTTCCAGATCTCGTACAGCACGATGTCTTATTGTATGGGACGCGACAGCGAGGCGTTCTCGAGTCGAGCTTAGTGTTTAGTCGGGTCTTTTCTCTGGCAAGCGAGTTCAAACATCGTGAACCGGCCTTTTATGGTGCCCAGTAGGAAAAATAATGTCTTATTATATGTGCCCATTGTGCCTTCAACAGCTCTCCCCCCCCGGAGAGGCGGCTGCAGGTCCGCCCACCGCAGGCAGACCCCTTTCGCGCCGTGCTGGGCCTGCTCTGAAACCTCAGATGTGCATATCCACCGTTCGGGGAACTGATTCCCAAGGGCCTCAGGAGGCAGTGGATACCCATCGGTCGTTGAAAGTATGTATTTTTGGTGCCCCAGATTCCAATCTACTTTGAGCGCATTCCTACTTCAAGAGTCGAGTGGGTTTCCCTCTTCCCTCCTCCTTCAGGAGGCGGGCGGAAACCCAATCTATTTCCAACGCCTTCCTACTTCATGTTTCTACCTACCTCTTCCGACCGATGGATATGGATATTCTCGGGCCCCCGGGGGTGGGGCCCAAGTCAAAGAAGGGGGAGGGGCCCAAATCCCGTGGGTGGGCCCAGTGCCACTGCCTCTCGGGTCTTGGACGCTGGCCCCCTCTGGCGGCAGATCTGCACCAGCTCTGGTATGAAACTGCTAGCGCAGCGGTTCGTGGAACAGACGCAATCTTCCTGCCCACCCCCTACCTCCGGTTGGCTGCACGCGACGCCCAGAGCGGCCGCGGAAACGCTGGTACGACGCCGCAGTCAACTTCAAGGACTACGGCGCTGAGGCGCCCCCGCCGCGCCCCTCGTGGGCCGTCCCCCCCTGTGGGACGACTGTCGGCGCTCTGCTCTGCTCTGCTCTGCTCTGCCCCTCCCTCCCGCCCAAACGTCCAGTTGCTCCCTTTTCTTCCTGCGTGGGCCCCAGAGGTCTGGACCACTTCCCTAGGTCCCTGGCGTCGCTCGGACGTGTGCATTTTTCCTTCGGCGAGGACCATCGAGGAACATCCTTGATCAATTGGCGAAAAAAACACGCACGAAACCGAAAAAAACGCAGGGAATGGACGTCCGAGCGATGGCGAGGGTCCGCTTTCTCGTCCTGGGCCGTTTTTCGACGGTCCCCGGGCCCGGCGAGGGCCCCTGGAGGCCGACAGCGGCGAAACAAATTACCCGCTGCAGTTTTGCTGGGAGCGTCGGCTCTCTGGGCAGACGTCTGACGCTGTGCTGTTCCAGTGATGAACCAACAACACACACCCATACCCATACAGGGGTCGGGGAGGGCTATGGGTGCGTGTTGTCGGATGGGGGTCCCCGCTCGAACGGGAGCGTTCTCCAGGGTCCGACAACCCGCACCCGTGCCCATAGCCAGTCCTCCTCCCAACGACCCCCCTACGGGTATGGGTGTGTGTTGTTCGTTCGTCATCCAGTGCGCGCCCCCCGGGGTCAGGACCTCTTTTTTGGGGGCAGCCTTCCATCCCATATCCATCCTGACAGTCCAGGGGCCCGCGGGCGGGCCCAGAGCGCCGACGTCGAGGAAACCTGCCGAGGCCTTTGAAGCCAGGTCGTCGGAGATTTTGGCTCTTCCCCTCCGAGGGTCAGAGGAGGAGAAGGTACCCGCACCTCTACCCTTCCCTCGTTGTCGCCAATACTGAAACTCCTGGGAGGCCCTCGTCGCCACCGCTGGAGCGCACCCCGGGGAAGGCTTGGGGAGCAGCGGTATCGGTACCTCTTGGCTACCGAAGAGGAGGTGCAGCACGTGGACGCGCTCCGCGAGGTGCTCAACGCGGTCGTGGAGGCTCCGCCCAGAGAAGGGTGCGGCAGCAGCGCAGGGAACGGCAGCACGGCGGGCGCCACGAGTTGTACCCGACCGTCCTCCCGGGACCCTCGTGCGTCCCAGACTTCGGCCCTCCTGAACAGATTTTCGGATCATCACGTTAGCGAAATGTCATTGCAGAGGTTGGCCGTCCGTGTTGGCTGGCTCAGGCTGATGATGCGCGCGAGTCGAATTTTTGACCAGGAGTAGAAGAAGGAGGAGGAAGAGGAGGAGGAGGAAGAGGAGGAGGAGGACCAGTGCAAACCCAAGACGCATCAACGATGTTGCAATACATCCTCCCTTCGAATTCGTATTTCATAGGTCTCAACAAGAGTTTTGTCATTGCGAACTGCCCCGTTGGAAAGCAACCGCCTGATAGTTATCAATCGTGACAAAGCACCATTCCTAGACTTGAGTGCCGCGAATACGCGTGACTGGTGCGTCCTGACAATCCTAGATAACGCCAGAACGCAATGTTTAGGATTTCAGCAAAGCGCACCAACGTGACCCAAACAAAATCACACCAACACATCATTTCTGGGATTTACCCATGCAAACCCTTGAAATTGCTGCGAACGTTCAACGCGAATATGCGCGACGCTAGGGCGAGAGCCACAGGTTGAACTTGAAGCGAAGTGGTTGCAACTTTCAAGGCACGTGTGCGCGGCGCTGGTGCGAGAGCCACAGTTTGAAAACCGCCCGCCCTCCATCTGTGAAATTGCTGCAGCTGTTTGAGACGAGTGTGCGCGGCGCTAAAAAGCTAAAACGAGAGCCACATGTTGAACACCGCCCGCCCCCCATCCGCAAAATTGCTGCAAGCTTTTAAGATGTATGTGTGCGATGCTAGGGCGAAAGTCTCAGTTCGAAGACGGCCCGCCCAGGATCCCATAATATAATTAAAACACAGGGTGAGTAAGTCTCAGGCGAAACGCCCGGCCCGCCCTACGGACACGTCTGTGGGTGCGACAGGAAAATGCCAATTTATTAGGAACAGGGATGGTGGCGGAGGAGGAGGAGGAAGATAATGGAAAGGAAGAGGATGGGGAAACGGAAGAAGGTGAGGAGGGGTAGGATGAGGGAGCGGAATGGATGAGGGGGGAGGGAAGGTAATGGAAGTATGATGGTGATGGCAACAGTGGTGATGACGATGATGATGTTGTTGATGATGATGATGATGATGATGCTGATGCTGATGATGTTGATGGTCACGATGCTGTTGACGATGCTGATGGTTGTAATGATGATGCAGCTGATGATGATGAGGGTGCTGATGATCATGATGACGTTGATGATGCTGCTGATGATGATTGTGATACTGATGCTGATTATGACACTGAGGATGATGCTGACGATGGACGCTGACGATGACGACGATGCCGATGATGATGATGATGATGATGCTGTTGTTGATGATGATGGTGATGGTGATGGTGATGTTGTTGACGATGCTGATGACGGTGGCGGTGTTGATGATTATGTTGATGGTGAGCATGATGATGGTGATGGTGCTGCTGATGATGATACCACGGCGGAGGAGGATGAGGACAATAGGGCGGAGGACGAGGAGGGATGGGAGTATGCTGATGACGAGAAGGAGGCCCAGGAGGAGGATGAGAGCAAGAACGATAATGAGGCGGAGGATGATTGTGATGATGATGGTATTGATGCAGAAGATGGTGATGATAGTGATGCTGATGAGGGTGATCAGGAGGATGAGGAGGACGAAGCCCTGGATGAATCTGATGACTGATGCTTATGCTTACTCTGATGATGGCGACGGTGGTGTCATATACGACAGTGATGGCTATAATGGTACACATTGAGGTTGCTTTTCTGATTGTGATGATGACGACAATGACGATGACGAAGACGAGGACGATAATGCTGCTAATGATAATGATGATGCTGATATTGATGGCTATGCTGATTCGACTGCTGATGCTAAGGATAACGTTGACGACGATGATGGTGATGATGCTGATGATGACCGTGGTGATGGTGATGATGATGATGACGATACTGATGATGATGCTGTTGCTGATCATGAATATGATAAGGATGATGATGCTGGTGATGATGATGATTATGATGATGATGATGATGATGATCATGATCATGATGCTGCTGCTGATGCTGATATTGATGATGATTGTGCTGCTGATGGTTATGATGACGATGCTGATGATGCTACTGCTGATGATGATGCTGATGGTCATGATGATCTGCTTCTGCTGATGCTGTTGTTGTTGATGATGGTGATGCTGCGGATGCTGATGCTGCTGCTGATGATGAAGATGCTGATGCTGATGCTGATGCTGCTGCTGATGATGATTATGATGATGATGATGATGCTGACGATGATGATGTTGATGATGATGATGATGATGATCATGATGATGATCATGATGATGATGATGATGATGATGATGATGATGCTGATGCTGATGCTGATGATGATGATGATGATGGTGGTGGTGATGATGATGATGATGATGCTGATGATGATGATGATGATGATGATGATGATGATGATGATGATGATGATGATGAAGAAGAAGGAGGTGGTGGTGGTGGAAGTGGTGGTGGTGGAAGGGGTGTCTTTTGAGGAGGATCAGAAAGATGAGGAGGAGGAGGAGGAGGAGGAGAGAGGAGGAGGAGGAGGAGGAGGGGGGAGGGGGACTGGGGATTAGTGTGCGTGAGTGAAGGAGATGCAGAAGGAGTAGGAGGAGGAGGAGGAGGAGGAGAGGAGAGGAGGAGGGGAGGAAGAGGAGGAGGAGGAGGAGGAGGAGGAGGGGAGGAGGAGGGGGGGAGGGGGGAGGAGGATGCTGAGGAGGAGGAGGGAGGAGGAGGAGATCAAGATGTGGAAAGGGAGGATGAGTGGGAGAGGTGGAACGGGGGAGGAGGTAACGGGAAGAAGGGAATGATGGGGGGGAAGGGGACAATTGGCAGGGGTGGCTCCTCCTATCAGCCCTTCCCCTCTCCCCTCCCCGCCTGCCATGCCCGCCTTCTCTCATCCTCCCGTCACCCCTTCGTCTTCTCTTCCCTCCCTTATCCCCTCTTCCCCCTTCCCCTCCCTTCCCACTTTTCCCTCCCGTTTCCCTTCCCCCACTGCCTCTGCGCTGGATCCCCTGGAGGTCGTCGACAGGGAGGTCGATACCTTCGAGACGCAGGTCGTCGAGAAGGAGGAGGAGGTGGTCGTGACCCTCACGCACGAGATGGGCATGGAGGTGCCTCCTCGTCTTTCTCCTCCTCCTCCTCCGCCTTCTCCTCCTCTCCGTCAGCCCCCGTAGCCATTTGGCTCAAGTTCCACGCGTGCGTCCCTGGCGCTTGGAGCTTGCACGCAGCCGAGGAGGCGACTCGACTCCCCACGCCTTCAGCTTAGAGTGAGCTCCTGGTGGAGCATCCATTTTTTTTGACAGTCGGTCATGTTTCCACTTCCGGTCAACTTTCATGTGAATCCACTTGATCTGCACCGCCTCGCAGGTGGCCCGCTCCGACCAGTCACAGAGTGTGTGCCATGACGACGCGAAGCGCGCGGCTTGGGGCGGGTGATATTGACGATCACGCTGATGCAGCTCAGCGCAGTCACAGCCAGGATCGCCGCCGTCCACCTGAGCGTGCTAAGCCCGCTCGTTGACAGCCACTGGAGGTACGGTCGGCCGCTGCGGTAGCCGCATGGACACGGCCAACCTACCCGACTCAGGAGCGCGAGGCTGTCGTGGTCCACCGACGAGACCTCGGGACCGCGATCGCCTACCTACCCGACTCAGGAGCGCGACCCTTATGTGGTCCATCGTCGAGATCCTTGGGCCGCGAGCGCTGTGCGAGCCGACTCAGGAACGCGAGGCTGACGTGGTCCACAGGCGAGACCTTTGGGCCGCGAGCGCCAACCCACCCGACTCAGGAGCGCGAGGCTGACGTGGTCCACCAGCGAGATCCTTGGACCGGGAACGCCAACCTACCCGACTCAGGAGGGCGTGGCTGACGTGGTCCACCGGCGACACCCTGGGGCAGCAAGCGTTGCGCCCGAGCCGACTCAGTCAGGAGCGCGAGTCTGATGTGGTCCGCCCGCGAGATCCTTGGGCCGCGAGCGCTTACCGAGCCGACTCAGGAGCGCGATGCCGATGTTGTCCACCGGTGAGACCTCTGGGCCGCGAGCGCTACGCGAGCCGACTCAGGAGCGAGGGACTGACATGGTCCACCGGCGAGACTCTTGGACCGCGAGCGCCAACCTTCTCGATGCAGGAGCGCGAGGCTGACGCGGTCCACCGGCGGCTCCCTTGGGCCGCGAGCGCTGCGCGAGCCGACTTTCGAGCGCGAGGCTGACGTCCGCCGGCGAGACCCTTGGGCCGCGAGCGCCAACCTGCCTGACTCAGGAGCGCGAGGCTGACGCGGTCCACCGGCGGCTCCCTTGGGCCGCGAGCGCTGCGCGAGCCGAGTTTCGAGCGCGAGGCTGGCGTGGTCCACCGGCGAGGCCCTGGGGCGGCGAGCGCTGCGCCAGCCGACTCAGGAGCTCGACGCCCACGCGGCCCATTGGCGAAACCCTTGGGCCGCGAGCGCCAGCCTCGCCGACTCAGGAGCGCGAGGCTGACGTGGTCCACCGGCGAGACCCTTGGACTGGGAGGCCAAGCTACCCCCTGCCCGATTCAGGAGCGCGAGGCTGACGTGGTCCACCAGCGAGAACCTTGTGACGCGAGCGCCAACCTGCCTGGATCAGGAGCGCGAGGCTGACGTGGTCCAACGGCGACACCCTTGGGCCGCGAGCGCTGCGCGAGCCGACTTGCGAGCGCGAGGCTGACGTCCGCCGGCGAGACCCTTGGGCCGCGAGCGCCAACCTGCCTGACTCAGGAGCGCGAGGCTGACGCGGTCCACCGGCGGCTCCCTTGGGCCGCGAGCGCTGCGCGAGCCGAGTTTCGAGCGCGAGGCTGGCGTGGTCCACCGGCGAGGCCCTGGGGCAGCGAGCGCTGCGCGAGCCGACTCAGGAGCTCGACGCCGACGCGGCCCATTGGCGAAAGCCTTGGGTCGCGAGCGCTGCGCGGGCCGACTCAGGAGCACGAGGCTGTCGTTGTCCAACGGCGAGACCGTTGGACCGCGAGCGCCAGCCTCGCCGACTCAGGAGGGCGTGGCTGGCGTGGATTGTTGGCGAGACCCTTGGGCCGCGTGCGCTGCGCCAGCTGACTCGGCGAGGCTGACGTGGTCCACCGGCGAGAGCCTTGTGCCGCGAGCGCCGACCTACGCGACTCAGGAGCTCGAGGCTGGCGTGGTCCACCGGCGAGACCCGTGGGCCGCGAGCGCCAAGCCGCCCGATTCAGGAGCGCGAGGCTGACGTGTTCCACCGGCGAGGCCCTGGGTCGCGAGCGCTGCGTGAGCCGACTCAGGAGCGCGAGGCTGACGCGGTGCGCTCGCGCGACTCGTGGGCCGCGAACGGTGTGCGAGCCGACTCAGGGGCGCGAGGCTGACGCGGTCCACCGGCGAGACGCGATGCCCCTGAGCCGCGAGCGCCAACCTGCCCGACAGAGGGGCGCGAGGCTGGCGGGGTCCACCAGTGAGACCCTGAGGCCACGAGTGCCGACCTGCCTGAGGCCACGAGCGCCTTAAGTTAGCTCGAAGCCAACGCAGCCCATTGGCGAAACCCTTGTGCCGCGAGCGCTGCGAGAGCCGACTCAGGAGCGCGAGGCCGACGTGGTCCACCTGCGAGACCCTTGAACGGGTGCGCCAACCTTCTCGATGCAGGGGCGCGAGGCTGACGTGGTCCACCGGCGAGGCCCTGGGGCAGCGAGCGCTGCGCGAGCCGACGATGAATGCGAGGCCGACGTGGTCCACCGGCGAGACCCTTGGGCCGCGAGCGCCAACGTGCCCGACTGAGGAGCGCAAGGCTGACGCGGCCCGCCGACGGGGCCTTTGGGGCGCGAGCGCTGTGCCAGCCGACTCAGGGTGCGAGGCTGACGTAGTCCGCCGGCGAGGCCCTCCGCCGGCGAGGCCCTCGCTGAGGTCCGACGTGGCGACGAAATTGCCACATCGTAAGTCATCGCGACCGGCGCCCTAGTCTCCATCTTTCTGCGCCGACTTTCATGCCGGATCGATCTGCGAGGGCCCCAGCTCGCAGAAAATTGCGAAACGCCCGTTTCGACAGCATTGAAAGGCCAGGATCTCGGTTTTCTGGCCGCGAGCGCCAACCTGCCAGACTCAGGAGCACGAGGCTGATGCGGTCTATTGGCGAGGCCCTTGGGCCGCGAGCGCTGCGCGAGCCGACTCAGGAATGCGAGGCTGTTGCGGCGCGCGGGCGAGACCCTTGGGCCGCGAGCGCCAGCCCGCCCGACTGGGGAGCGCGAAGCTGGCGTGGTCCAGCGGCGAGACCCCTGGGCCGCAATCGCCAAACTACCAGGCTCAGGAGATCGAAGCCGACGTGGTCCACCGGCGAAACCCTTGGACCGCGGGCGCCAGCCTGCCTGGCTCGGGAACGCGAGGATGACGTGGTCCACCTGCGAGACCCTTGTGCTGCGAGCGCTGTGCGAGCCGATTCAGACGCGCGAGACCGACGCGGCCCCCTTGCGAGACCCTTGGGCCGCGAGCGCCAACCTGCCCGACTCAGGAGCGGAGGCTGACGTGGTCCACTGGCGAGGCCCTGGGGCCGCGAGCGCTGCGCGTGCCGACCCAGCCCCTCGTCCCTTCCAGAATCATGAGGTTTCCTTTCTAATTTTCTTGGGGGAAAGGCGTTCCCTCTTGCTTTGCTTTGAATGACCTATGTAGTGCAATATGTGCGGTGTAATCTACGTGGTGCAGATTATGCAGCGTATGTAATGTAAGATATGCGGTGCAATCTATGCGGTGCAACCCGCTTGCCGAACTTGAAGTTGTCAGCTCCACTCCTCGCGCAATCATCCCATCCGCCCACCCGCAACTTTGTTTGCAAAGCCCATGCGGGAGCGATTGCGATGCCAGCTGGGTGCTGGCTGGTGCATCTCTGCGGCCGCGCTAGCCCGCGCATGCTCGCGCGCGCAGCGGCCAGCTAGCTTGGCGCGACCGACGCGAAAGCGGTGGCGCCGACCGCTCGGCGCATCCCAGCGGGCACTTCAGTGCGAGTCGGCGATTTGGGCGGGCGCGGTATCATGGCAACGGCGACAACGGTAGACACGATGATGAGAGCAGCGATGCTTGTGACAATGCTGACAGCGACCACGGGGCAGCCAGTGACGGCGCCGATGCTGATCACGCCGACGACGGTGACGGCGTCTTCGCGCCGGTGATGAAGGTTTTGGGAAACAAATCGAAATGCGCGCGGCAGATGCGCGCGAGTGGTTCGCATGGAATTATTTGACACGGATCGTGCCACCCCAGCACGCGCGCAAGGGCGTTCGAACGATTTCGACATGTGCGCGCGCGGAGCCCGCTTGACGACGACGACGACGACGGCGGCGACGACGACGACGCCGACGTCGACGACAACGAAGACGACGACGCCGACGCCGACGACGACGACGAAGACGACGACGACGTCGCCAACGAAGACGACGACGAGGGAGGAGTGAGGACGACGACGGCGACAACGACGACAACGACGAGGGAGGAGGGAGGACGGCGACGACGCGAACGACGAAGAAGGCGGAAGAACGGCGACGCCGACGACGACAACGACGAGGGAGGAGGGAAGACGACGACGACAACGACGACGACGACGACGGCGACGAAATAGGAGGGACGACGACGAGACGCCGACGACGGACGACGACGACGACGAGGGAGGAGGAGGAAGGACGACCACGGCGACAACGACGACGGAAACGACCACGACGCCAAAGAGGACGACGACGACGAACGCGAGAAAAGACAGAGGACGACGTAGGCGACGACGACGACGACGCGGGAGGAGGGAGGACGGCGACGACGACGACGACCACGACGACGCAAGAGCGCGCGCGCACGCTTTTGTTGAAAATCCGTGTTGCGAAACCTTGTGTGTTTGTAGGTTTGTTGGACACACGATTTTGAAATCCTTCCGGAACCGATGGATTTGGAAGGTTTTCGGCATACGCGCGCGACGACGTGCGCGTCTGCACTTCGTCCCACTTTTTGCAGAGGATTCTCGCGACGGCACACGCGCAAGGGCGTTCGACAGATTTCGACATGCGCGCGCGCAAAACCCGTTTGGTAGCATGTTGTGAAAATCTTGAAAACCCCATGGTTTCCTTAAGATTTCGCAAGAGCTCGCGCGGAAGCTTTTCCAGCA